GAAAGCTTTAATTTCTCTCATTAAGCGATTAAAGCTTTCTTAACGCTAATGTACGGGGAATAAATGACTCTAGTCTAGTTGACAGGATTGAAGCGTTGTCAACAGTCACGGTCAACAGACTGGCTGTGCTTGAGGGAAAAAAATATCCCGTGAATGAACTATGAGCTGCTCCTCTGTGAATGAAAACCAGGGTCTGTTCCTTCATGAATGAAGGTACGCATGAATGACCAAAAATCGTGAATAACACCTTCCCTCCCTGAAGCCTGGAAAAAAAAAACCCAGAGAGTCTAAGCCACAACTCACTGGAGAACCGGGGTGAGCTAGATTAAAGTGAGAATCACAATGAAAGGTGTAAGGCCTGCAATAAGAGGATTTATAATGAGCTTAGTCTAATGACGTTATTTATACGGCAGTCGATTATCCCATAAATAAACCCTAACAGAATGTCAGCCTTATACACGGCCTGGGAGGTACAAAAATAACCTTAGGTACCGCCCTTGTTCGGTCTCCCCCTGGCACGGCCACTTTCTATTTAATTACTTGTGTGTGTAAAAGGTTACGAGAAAGTATAATCAGAGGACATGTACATTAGGTGGTATAATATCTGGGAGGTGTGAGAATGATAGGAAGAAGGTGTGTAGTTACTTAGTGTGAGTTACTGGAGTTATGTTGGTGGTGTCTAGGCTGGAGTGTTGGTAGTTACAACAGTAGGTGGTGTCTAGGCTGGAGTGTTGGTAGTTACAACGGTAGGTGGTGTCTAGGCTGGAGTGTTGGTAGTTACAACAGTAGGTGGTGTCTAGGCTGGAGTGTTGGTAGTTACAACAGTAATGTTGGTGGTGTCTAGGCTGGAGTGTTGGTAGTTACAACAGTAGGTGGTGTCTAGGCTGGAGTGTTGGTAGTTACAACAGTAGGTGGTGTCTAGGCTGGAGTGTTGGTAGTTACAACAGTAGATGGTGTCTAGGCTGGAGTGTTGGTAGTTACAACAGTTGGTGGTGTCTAGGCTGGAGTGTTGGTAGTTACAACAGTAATGTTGGTGGTGTCTAGGCCGGAGTGTTGGTAGTTACAACAGTAATGTGGTGGTGTCTAGGCGGAGTGTTGGTAGTTACAACAGTAATGTTGGTGGTGTCTAGGCCGGAGTGTTGGTAGTTACAACAGTAATGTTGGTGGTGTCTAGGCTGGAGTGTTGGTAGTTACAACAGTTGGTGGTGTCTAGGCTGGAGTGTTGGTAGTTACAACAGTGGGGGTGTCTAGGCCGGAGTGTTGGTAGTTACAACGTAATGTTGGTGGTGTCTAGGCTGGAGTGTTGGTAGTTACAACAGTAATGTTGGTGGTGTCTAGGCGGAGTGTTGGTAGTTACAACAGTAATGTGGTTTGTGTCTAGGGTGGAGTGTTGGGTAGTTACAACTGTGGTGGTGTCTAGGCTGGAGTGTTGGTAGTTACAACAGTATGTTGGTGGTGTCTAGGCCGGAGTGTTGGTAGTTACAAACAGTATGTTGGTGGTGTCTAGGCTGGAGTGTTGGTTTGTTACAACAGTTGGTGGTGTCTAGGCTGGAGTGTTGGTAGTTACAACTAATGTTGGTGGTGTGTCTAGGCTGGAGTGTTGGTAGTTACAACAGTAATGTTGGTGGTGTCTAGGCCGGAGTGTTGGTAGTTACAACAGTAATGTTGGTGGTGTCTAGGCTGGAGTGTTGGTAGTTACAACAGTTGGTGGTGTCTAGGCTGGAGTGTTGGTAGTTACAACAGTTGGTGGTGTCTAGGCTGGAGTGTTGGTAGTTACAACAGTAATGTTGGTGGTGTCTAGGCCGGAGTGTTGGTAGTTACAACAGTAATGTTGGTGGTGTCTAGGCTGGAGTGTTGGTAGTTACAACAGTGGTGGTGTCTAGGCTGGAGTGTTGGTAGTTACAACAGTAAGTTGGGGTGGTGTCTAGGCTGGAGTGTTGGTAGTTACAACAGTAATGTTGGTGGTGTCTAGGCCGGAGTGTTGGTAGTTACAACAGTAATGTTGGTGGTGTCTAGGCTGGAGTGTTGGTAGTTACAACAGTTGGTGGTGTCTAGGCTGGAGTGTTGGTAGTTACAACAGTAATGTGGTGGTGTCTAGGCGGAGTGTTGGTAGTTACAACAGTATGTTGGTGGTGTCTAGGCTGGAGTGTTGGTAGTTACAACAGTTGGTGGTGTCTAGGCTGGAGTGTTGGTAGTTACAACAGTAATGTTGGTGGTGTCTAGGCTGGAGTGTTGGTAGTTACAACAGTAATGTTGGTGGTGTCTAGGCTGGAGTGTTGGTAGTTACAACAGTTGGTGGTGTCTAGGCTGGAGTGTTGGTAGTTACAACAGTAATGTGGTGGTTCTAGGCCGGAGTGTTTTGGGAGTTACAACAGTAATGTTGGTGGTGTCTAGGCTGGAGTGTTGGTAGTTACAACAGTTGGTGGTGTCTAGGCTGGAGTGTTGGTAGTTACAACAGTAATGTTGGTGGTGTCTAGGCGGAGTGTTGGTTTGTTACAACAGTAATGTTGGTGGTGTCTAGGCTGGAGTGTTGGTAGTTACAACAGTTGGTGGTGTCTAGGCTGGAGTGTTGGTAGTTACAACAGTAATGTTGTGTTGTCTAGGCTGGAGTGTTGGTAGTTACAACAGTTGGTGGTGTCTAGGCTGGAGTGTTGGTAGTTACAACAGTAATGTTGGTGGTGTCTAGGCCGGAGTGTTGGTAGTTACAACAGTTGGTGGTGTCTAGGCTGGAGTGTTGGTAGTTACAACAGTTGGTGGTGTCTAGGCTGGAGTGTTGGTAGTTACAACAGTAATGTTGGTGGTGTCTAGGCTGGAGTGTTGGTAGTTACAACAGTAGGTGGTGTCTAGGCTGGAGTGTTGGTAGTTACAACAGTTGGTGGTGTCTAGGCTGGAGTGTTGGTAGTTACAACAGTTGGTGGTGTCTAGGCTTTTGGTGTTACAAACAGTAGGTGGTGTCTAGGTGAGTGTTGGTAGTTACAACGTAGGTGGTGTCTAGGCTGGAGTGTTGGTAGTTACAACAGTAGGTGGTGTCCCAGGCTGGAGTGTTGGTAGTTACAACAGTAGTGGTGTCTAAAAGCTGAGTGTTGGTAGTTAACATAGGGGTGTCTAGGCTGGAGTGTAAGTTACATCAGTAGGTGGTGTCTAGGCCCGGAGTGTTGTAGTTACAACAGTAGGTGGTGTCTAGGCTGGAGTGTTGGTATTACAAAGTAGGTGGGTCTAGGCTGGAGTGTTGTAGTTACAACAGAGGTGTGTCTAGGCTGGAGTGTTGGTAGTTAAACAGTTGGTGGTGTCTAGGCTGGCGTGTTGGTAGTTACACAGTTGGTGTGCTGGCTGGAGTGTTGGTAGTTACAACAGTGGTGGTGGTCTAGGTGGAGTGTGTGGTATTTTCAACAGTAGGTGGTGTCCCGGCTGGAGTGTTGGTAGTTCAACATAGTGGTGTCTAGGCTGGGTTTGGTATTACAAAGTGGTGGTGTCTAGGCTGGAGTGTTGGTAGTTACAACAGTATGTGGTGTCTAGGCTGGAGTGTTGGTAGTTACAACAGTTGGTGGTGTCTAGGCTGGAGTGTTGGTAGTTACAACAGTAGGTGGTGTCTAGGCTGGAGTGTTGGTAGTTACAACAGTAGAGTCATGTTGGTGTTCAGTCCTCAGTCTTTTTAGTTACAGAAACTTTCACTTCTATAATCTCTCGTCATTCCTCACTTCTATCAGCTCTGGGACTAGTCTTGTTGCATACCTCTGCACTTTCTTCATTTTTTTTTTCTAAATAGTCTTTATTAGATAAGGGAATTCATACTGGTGCTAAGTACTTCAGAACAGACCTGGCATGTGTTGTATACAAGGCCGTGAGTGGCCATTTTCTGAAATTTCTGAAAGTTGCTCTTAGAACTGCCAAACGGAAATTAACCTGGTGGCTAAAGCTATCGCTTTACACACGGAGGGCCCGGGTTCGATTCCCGGCGGGTGGAAACATTTCGACGCGTTTCCTTACACCTGTTGTCCTGTTCACCTAGCAGCAAATAGGTACGTGGGTGTTAGTGGATTGGTGTGGGTCGCATCCTGGGGGGACAAGATTGAGGACCACAATGGAAATAAGTTAGACAGTCCTCGATGACGCACTGACTTTCTTGGGTTATCCTGGGTGGTTAACCCTCCGGGTTAAAAATACGAAGAAAATCTTATCTTATATAAGTCTCTGGTGACCTATTAGACAGTGTGCTTACCCCGAAGTCCTTTGCTTTGAGTGAGGTTTGCAACCTCTGTCCCCCTACAAGTCTATACTTAGTTTCCGGTCTTCTTGACCCTTCCCTAATCTTCATAATCTTGTGTGTGTGTACTCGCCTATATGTTGTTGCAGGGGTCGATTCACAGCTCCAGTAATACCGACAAAATAAGTAGTGGGGGGTGTGGGTGAGAGAGAGTGAGAGAGAGAGAGAGAGGATGAGGGGCGACGTGCCCCGCGTGGCTGGCAGTCATTCATATCACAGAGCGTGTAAGTATGCACCACAGCCCTGGACATCTATATATAACACTAATATACTTCGCCGCTTCCTTCCTTTACTCGACCACTCTCCGAATAGATTCTTATTTCTCACACGGCATTCGTATTGCAAGTTTCGTATCTTACTCCCTTCCTTCCTCTCTCCCTTCCTTCCTCCCTCCCTTCCTTCTTTACTTCCTTCCTTTCTTCCTTCCTTCCTTCCTTCCTCACTTCCTTCCTTCCTTCTTTCCTTCCTTCCCTCCTTCCTTCCTTCCTTCCTCCATCCCTTCCTTCCTTCCTTCTACCCTTCCTTCCTCCATCCCTTCCTTCCTTCCTTCTACCCTTCCTTCCTCCATCCCTTCCTTCCTCCCTCCCTCCCTTCCTAGTTGTACATGTAGGGTATACAATACCCACAAGATGAAGAATTAGACACATGTACAACATCTGGGTATCTTTATTTGTAGACGTCTCGCCCACTAGCGGCTTTACCAGTATAATACATGCACCTCAACTGTCTTTCCCAGGTTATGGTGTGTCGCAGACAGCAACAGCAGCAGCAGCAGCAGCAGCAGCAGCTAGGCAGCAGCAGCTGCTCACTGACATGGTTCCTGGTGGTTCTGGTCTCCCTGGTCCTTGTGGTCCAGGTCCAGACGTACCCTGGGTACGGAGACCGGCTGAGAAATGGCCGCCGCTACCAGGGCCAGCAACTACCCCTCTCAGGTACCACCCCAGCAGACGACTACCTTGATGACGACCTCGACTACTCTAGCCTCTACGACCACGACCCCTTCAGTCCTAAGAGAGAGCCGGAGCTCTATACTTTTGACCAGGTAGGTGCTCTTAACTCTCCTTCCATTAACCAGGGCTCTTTGAATCCACTTCAAATAATACCTAAATAACCCGCGCTTAGAAGCATATCACAACGTTTCTGTCCGACTTGATCCAAAACGTCGGACAGAAACGTGTGTGGGTTATCTGTGTATTGTACCACTTACAGAATTGTGACGTTTTTGTCCTTCTCAATGGATATAAGTCACTTTGTCTGATTTTTTTCGTGGTTTTCCTGGGTAATTTACACTGTGTATGGTAATTGTACTTATGTGTACCTGGGCCTAAATAAACTTACACACGAGCATACAAAACGAACCCACACACACACACACACACACGCACACACAGTTCCTCACAAGAAGTTACTGCAAAAGCTAGAGGATCAGGCACACATAACAGGAAAGGCACTGCAATGGATCAGAGAATACCTGACAGGGAGGCAAGAACGAGTCATGGTACGTGACGAGGTGTCAGAGTGGGCGCCTGTGACAAGTGGGGTTCCACAGGGGTCAGTCCTAGGACCTGTGCTGTTCTTGGTATATGTGAACGACATAACGGAAGGGATAGACTCAGAAGTGTCCTTGTTTGCAGATGATGCGAAGTTAATGAGAAGAATCAAATCGGATGAGGATCAGGCAGGACTACAAAGAGACCTGGACAGGCTACAAGCCTGGTGCAGCAACTGGCTCCTTGAGTTTAACCCTGCCAAATGCAAAGTCATGAAGATTGGGGAAGGGCAAAGAAGACCGCAGACACAATATAGTTTAGATGGCCAAAGACTGCAAACCTCACTCAAGGAAAAAGATCTGGGGGTGAGTATAACACAGAGCATATCTCCTGAGGCGCACATCAATCAGATAACTGCTGCAGTATACGGGCGCCTGGCAAACCTACGGATAGCGTTCCGATACCTCAGTAAGGATTCGTTCAAGACTCTGTATACCATTTACGTCAGGCCCATACTGGAGTATGCAGCACCAGTTTGGAATCCACACCTAGTCAAGCACGTCAAGAAATTAGAGAAAGTGCAAAGGTTTGCAACAAGACTAGACCCAGAGCTACGGGGATTGTCCTACGAAGAAAGGTTGAGGGAAATCGGCCTGACAACACTGGAGGACAGGAGGGTCAGGGGAGACATGATAACGACATATAAAATACTGCGCGGAATAGACAAGGTGGACAAAGACGGGATGTTCCAGAGAAGGGACACAGACACAAGAGGTCACAATTGGAAGTTGAAGACTCAGATGAATCAAAGGGATGTTAGGTAGTATTTCTTCAGTCATAGAGTAGTCAGGCCGTGGAATAGCCTAGAAAGTGAAGTAGTGGAGGCGGGAACCATACATAGTTTTAAGGCGAGGTATGATAAAGCTCATGGAGCAGGGAGAGAGAGGACCTAGTAGCAATCAGCGAAGAGGCGGGCCAGGAGCTGTGAATCGACCCCTGCAACCACAATAGGTGAGTACACACACACACACACACACACACACACACACACACACAACCACACATACACACACACATACACACACACAACACACACACACACACACACACACAACACACACACACATACACACACACACACACACACACACACACACACACACACAATACACACACACACACACACACACACCACACACACACACAACACACCACACACACACCACACACACACCACACATACACATACACACACACAAGGAAATAAAAAAGTTACAAATCATGGAAGGCAACAAGTTTTGCATCTCCTAGGAAGCTTAAACAACAAACTCCCGGCCCTGGCAGCATCCAAGGGGAGATGAAAGGATGTGAGGATGCTCTGGATAAGGCTGCTACACTCTGCAGTTGCAAAAGAGTCAACCTAAGTTGCCAGTCAATTTTCCACTGGGAAATCAAGACTGATTCCAAGCACCTTGTTTATACTGGATTACAGACAGTCCCAGATCTTCATGTCTGACAAGAGAATGACCCGGGTTCGTTTCGGGAGGGTTGGGACGTATGGGTAAGTCTCCTCAGCACCTTGCGCCACTGCTCTGTAGTAAATAGGCGCCTGGGTGATAGCTGATAATAATAATAATAATTCACCTTCACAGTAGGCTTCTTCAGTCGAGTACAATGGTATCTTGGTACACAATGGTTGGATTTGAGAGGGATGTGACCTCTCAATGATTACATTCTTTTTTCTATCAGTAGCCAACATCTCACCTCCTGTCACTTCGACTTAACATTGTTTCAGACTATGGAACTATACTCTTCTTCAGGCTCCTTATCTTCTCCTTATCTTCTTATCAAAACCACCACTACCCACCAAAGTGGGATTTGTCACAGTTGCTTTTTGCTGATGACACGGTGCTTTTGGGAGATTCTGAAGAGATGTTGCAAAGAATACAGGGGGATGGTAAAGGTTTTGAGTGCTAGGGGCTTGGACATCCAACAGTCTTTTGTAAGCGTGTTAGAGAAGATTGAAGGCTTGAAGACACTGGAATAACCTGAGACTAGAGACCAAGAATGTTTACGTAGATTGCGAAGCGGAAGTAGGTGGAAAGAAAAGGTGAAAAGGTTAAAGTGAAAAAAATAGAAGAGAACCCTGAAAAAAGGAAAAAGAAGAACAAAAGGAGGAAAAGGAAAAAGAAGAAAAAGAAGTAGATAAAGAAAATGAAGAGAAAGAAGAAACAGAAAAAAAGAAGAGCAGGAATTTCCCCCATCAAAAAATATATAATCCATCCCGATAAAGATCAACCCAAAACACTCACACGAATCAAACATACGTTCGTTGCCCCTTTTTATTTGCCCTATTCTTTCGTGTCCTGGACAAGCACCCTTCCAAATATGCTTTTCATACACACACACACACACACACACACACACACATACACACTTTCATCCCTCATTCCCCACACCTGTCATTATACGTAACACTGTCCAAACTGCGTGCTAATATCCTTAACAAGTACGCCACGCAAAGTAATAGAGTGTAATAGAGATAGAGATTGCTGACACACCTTGAGGAGTTGAGTTGATAATGTCAGAAAATATGTGAAAGGCTAGAAGCACTATCAGCTACGATAGGCTGGTACAGACAACATAGCAACATACGCACATGGAGACAGAAACTCAGAAGATTAATTGGTCTGTATATTTCGATCCAATTCTGGGACCCCTCTTCAGCAGATACGTTAAGTGAATTGATTGATTGATTCTTCAGGAACTGTACCTGATACGGGTCATAATCGTAAGATGATCCGTCTGAGGATTTCTAAGATGTCGATCTTATTTCAGTGTTATGTGACAGCGATCACATGACTGGAGGGAAGGTTGTACCTCACCCTGTACACATGAGTGGAGGGAAGGTTGTACCTCACCCTGTACACATGACTGGAGGGAAGGTTGTACCCACCCTGTACACATGATTTGGGGAAGGTTGTACCTCACCCTGTACACATGACTGGAGGGAAGGTTGTACCTCACCCTGTACACATGACTGGAGGGAAGGTTGTACCTCACCCTGTACACATGACTGGAGGGAAGGTTGTACCTCACCCTGTACACATGACTGGAGGGGGAAATATAAACACATATGCCAGTTTAATGTGTTCCTTTATTGACAACGTTTCGCCCACACAAAGGGCTTATCTCTATATCCGACAACTTCAACCAGAATAGTGGATTCTATAACATAGCTGAACCACTCGCCAAGAAACTTCTTCATCACTATCCCACATAAGAACATAGGAATGGAAGAACACTGCAGAAGGTCTGCTAACAAACTTATCCAATCTCCCTGCCAAGCTACCCAAGATTTTAGACTCTATAACCCCACTCGGTACATCATCAGATGCAGCATTCTCCACCTGACCTCAGCATTCTGAACCTGACTATAAATACTCCCGTACCTTCCACCCCAGGTAGATCTGTTGTGCACCTCACCCTGTACACATGAGTGGAGGGACGTGCACCTCACCCTGTACACATGAGTGGAGGGACGTGCACCTCACCCTGTACACATGAGTGGAGGGACGTGCACCTCACCCCGTACACATGAGTGGAGGGACGTGCACCTCACCCTGTACACATGAGTGGAGGGACGTGCACCTCACCCTGTACACATGAGTGGGAGGGACGTGCAAACCCCACCCTGTACACATGAGTGGAGGGACGTGCACCTCACCCTGTAAAACATGAGTGGAGGACGTGCACCTCACCCTGTACACATGAGTGGATGGGACGTGCACCTCACCCTGTACACATGAGTGGAGGGAAAGGCCCTCACCCCTGTACACATGAGTGGAGGGACGTGCACCTCACCCTGTACACATGAGTGGAGGGACGTGCACCTCACCCTGTACACATGAGTGGAGGGACGTGCACCTCACCCTGTACACATGAGTGGAGGGACGTGCACCTCCCCTGTTACACATGAGTGGGGGGACGTGCACCTCACCCTGTACACATGAGTGGAGGGGCGTGCACCTCACCCCGTACACATGTTGGAGGGACGTGCCCCCCACCCTGTACACATGAGTGGAGAGACGTGCACCTCACCCTGTAACATGAGTGGAGGGACGTGCACCTCACCCTGTACACATGAGTGGAGGGACGTGCACCTCACCCCGTACACATGAGTGGAGGGACGTGCATCTCACCCTGTACACATGAGTGGGGGGACGTGCACCTCACCCTGTACACATGAGTGGAGGGACGTGCACCTCACCCTGTACACATGAGTGGAGGGACGTGCACCTCACCCTGTACACATGAGTGGAGGGACGTGACCTCACCCTTACACATGAGCGGAGGGACGTGCACCTCACCTGTACACATGAGTGGAGGGACGTGCACCTCACCCTGTACACATCTGATGGAGGGACGTGCACCTCACCGTGTACACATAATGGAGGGACGTGCACCTCACCCGTACACATGAGTGGAGGGACGTGCACCTCACCCTGTACACATGAGTGGAGGGACGTGCACCTCACCCTGTACTCATGAG